TTCACACCAATCTCCCCTTTTCTTTCTAGAAATCGCATCCATCTCAATCTCCCCCACTCTGCAAAAACATTCCACCTCATCCACCACCTCCAAGAGGATCCGTCAGCCTTATCCCTCATCCAACCCTTCCCTGTTGGCTATTTACCACCATTCCACCAGCAAAACACTCGCTCTGATCCCTTCTCCGGGGTCACTCTCCCCCCTCCGTGGGGATCTGACCCCAACCCCATTCCCCTCACGGAGGGCTGTCACCCAGGACCCATCCTCCCCCCCATTACCTCTCTCCCTTCGCTCCAGATACTCGGCCGCCTCCAGCAGCCGCTGGATGTTGATCATCTGGACCTGCTCCATGGCCGGGGGGCTCCGCCGCCCCGGGCCGCCCTCCGCCCCCACGCTCCCGGCTCCCCCGATGGAGACGGGGGCGGCTGCGGCGGGGAGGCGCCGGGGATCGCCGTCTCTGCCCAGTGCCCGGGCCTCGTCACACCGTGCCGGGGGGACGGCTCTCCTGGGAGGGCGAGGGGTGGCAAGGGGGGAACACGCGAGGAAATGCCGGAGGAAGGACCCGCTCCGGGATGCTCCCGGCGGGGGCGGCAGCGCGGCGAGCGCTATCCCTGCCCCTGCCCCGTGCCCACCGCCCGCCCGGGCGCTGTGCCCGCCGCCAGCCCGGATTTACCCGCAGCCCGGGCCCTGCCGGGATCCCACCCCCCCCGGGCCGCTCCGGCCAGGCAGCCCCGCGGCGGGACCGGCCCCTGCGGCCGCCGCCCCGCCCGCCGCCGCGCAGCACTTTGTTTACCTCTGCCCGGCGCTCACGGCGGGCGGGGCGGAGCGGGGCGGGCTGGGAAATGCAGTCCCCGGGAGCACCCGGGGATCGGCGGAGCGTGCGGGGGCATCGACGCGCACAGGAAACACCTCCCGGGGGTGAGGGCTGTGTTGCCCTCATGCCTCAAGGGGAGGGCTCCGCGCCCACCCAGACCCCGAGGGGATGGTGGCGGTGGTCTGAGGTCAGAGAGTCACAGAATGGGTCAGGTTGGAAAGGGGCCACAGTGGGGCATCTGCTCCAACCTCCCTGCTCAAGCAGGGTTATCCTACAGCACGTGGCACAGGATTGTGTCCATCTGGTTCTGAAATATCTCCGGTGTGGGAGACTCCACCACCTCTCTGGGCAACCTGTTCCAGTGCACAGTCACCTGCACAGTAAAGAAGTTCTTCCTCATATTCAGGTAGAACTTCCTGTGCATCAATTTCTGCCCTTTCCCTCTTGTCCTATTGCTCAGCACCACGGAGAAGAGTCCAGCTCCATTCTCTTCACGTCCTCCCTTATATACATGGATGAAGTCCCATTCAATCATCTCTTCTCAAGGCTGAACAGGCCCAGCTCCTTCAGCCCTGCCTCATAAGAGAGATTTCTCCAGGCTCTTGATCAACTTTGCAGCCCTTTGCTGAAGCTGCTCCAGGAACTCCATGTCTCTCTTGTATTGAGGAGCCCAGAAATGGACACAGCACTCCAGGTGACGGCTCCGTGCCCACCCAGGCACTGAAGAGATGGTTGTTTGCCCTGTCCTCCCTCCCTTCCTCGCTGCCAACTTGCAGTCCCCAGTGTACCAGCAGCACACGACTCACAATCCATATACCCAGCTGTAAATGGTGGCTTCCTCCTGGGCCACCACCAGCTGGGGAAGCCACCAGTGGTCAGCAGCCACTGGGTACATCACAGCAGCTCCCAGGCCAGAGCTTCACACTCCACCAACACACTGGGGGCAAGGCAGCAATCGCCTAGAGTGCAGGACTTCAGCAGCCACTTCATTCCTCTCTGTACAAACACCCGGGCTTTCCACACGTGGAACTGCCTATGGCAAGGATGAAGCAGAGAGGCTACAAAAGGTAAAACTGCAGCCGCAGGGTGGGAGCTTTCCACATCTCACCTGTGGAGATGTAACTAAAGATAAGGTGCCAGGCTCAGGGAATTCCCACCTGGAGTGGCTGAAACAGCGTTTCTGATGGGAGGCTGAGGAGCAAGACCCATTTTTCAGTGTGAACGCAGCCCTTTGAGAGCATAGAGAAGCAACATCACAGACAGCAATCTCACTCTACCTGAAGCAGCACATTAACAAGTAACAACAGTGACCATCTCAACATTTTAATGAATTCTGCCACACTTACACCTGCCAGTATGATCACTCTTTTGAGCATTTTAATAATGTATTTACATCCTGATTTTCCTACAGGTAAAAATCTTTGTATCACTTCTGTGACTGAATTTTACCAACTTCAACATTAGCTGAAATGGAGTTTAAAAACCTGTTAACATTTAATTGTATGATACCAGTCTCTAAAACATTTGTCTTACTCAAAAAGGACATGATCAGAGAGCATTCAAAATTAGAATCAGAACATTCATAGTAAAAATCTGAATTTCGAACTGAGAAACCCTCTAAAGACTGTTTTGTAGTTCTAACTGGGATTATTTTCACGGGCCTGAACCTTTAGGCCATGACTGATTACATCTGCAAGCATTCCACATCAGAATGGGAGATGGAGAAGTACCTTGAAAAAAAACCCAGAAAAGCAGAGATTCTCAACTAATGGTGTGTGCAAGGGCTTTAGGCAGAGCACAAAGTATCAGGAGACTCGTGATGAAGTTGCAAGAGTTGGCAGCATTCAACTTGAGAAGGCCTGAAAAAAGTGGATTCAGGGTAGCTAACTTTTCTTTAAACACATTTCGCTGATTCACCATTTCTGAGGTTTCCTCAGAAAACTGCAGGCTTGCAGCTGATGGAGGTAAAAATAATACCACTATTCAGTCCATACACAGTCCTTTTCATCTCTAAGTCTCTAAGGGTTGTTTTGTTTTGTTTCTCTTGAGATGGAATACTTGAAGAATACAGGAAGCTGGGACACCTCCAGGGACGTACCTCCATCTTCTGCTCTGTGGGAAAGCCAGTCCCAGCCCTCACTCGGACTCCCAGCCTCAGCCTCCACTCACGTACCTATACCCAGGCAGACCACAGCACGTGTAAAGACTGCTTTTTGTCTGGGGGAGAACTCAGGGAAGGAAGTACTCTCCCCACCTCTTGTTTCTACACTGGAAACTGCCCATAGAGCAGATTGTTAAAAGCACATGGAAAATTCCAAATTTGAGCAATCTCTGGGACTACTTATATCATCTTGGACTATCAAAAAGGACGCAGGTGCACAGACCTCTCTGCAACAGTGAAGTTAACACAAGAGCATTTCTGGGCTCTAACTGTGCTGCCTCTAACCTGCTTTCCAAACCACAGAGCCATTTGCCTCTCAGGATTAGCAATACTAAACATCAAAAAAAAAAAGCCAAACAACAAACCCCACAACTCCAACCCCCAAACTCATGATGAAGCCCCACAATCACTGCAAAACAGGTTGTTGTCAGCATCCACTGCCACTAGCTTTTCTAATGGCACACTCGGAGATGTGTAGTGCCACTCTAGGGATTACAAAGGGAAAGCCATGGCTGGAAAATGTAGGGGCAGATTAGGAGCATATCCAACTGTCAGCCTCCTGAAGGTCTATATATAAAATAACAGAGTGGGATGGAGGGGGACCCCGATATACATGGTGAATTAAAACAGCTCTGAAATGAAGGAACAGCAGGATCAGTTCTGTGTGAAACGATGTAGGATCAGCTCTTGCATTTACACTTCAGCTCAGCTTCCAAGTCTTTGTTTCTGAAGTAAACAACGTCCAATTAGAAAAAAAAAAATGTATGAAACAAAGACAAATTTGAGAATAAACTGTGGGACATCTTCCCAAAGAAAGAGCCCTAAAGAGGAGGCAAGCCAGCCGTAGAGCCACAGCAGATCTGCAAAATCTTTCAGTTGCCATCCCAAGTGCTCGTGTGGGCAGGTCAGCCTGCAAAATGCCAGAGTTGTATGTGACAGAAACAAAAGTGGGTGGAAAGTGAATCGCACGAAGAGGCCCAATGCTATTCAACTGCTGACCAAAAAGCCCCCAAAGTCAGATTTTAAATGTGGTTGAGCAATCCACAG